TGCCACTTGTCTAACAACTGCACCATGTCAGGATAAGCAAGTATTCCAAAATCTGGAAACAAAGTGATCCCTCGGAAGCAATAATCACAACAAAATTATAAGAGAATTGCAGACTCGGTTTGATTGAGTCTGTACATGAGGGATAATGAAAACGTGCAACATCCCTCACGCCTCCTAGCACCGGCTTGAGCGGAACTCAATTCTCAACACTTAATAGTGCTGGTATCAATGATCTCGAAGGACCAGAAAAATATGACGACACTAACTTAATATGTTTGAAAAATTGGCTACATTAAAGCTTTTGCACGACAACAGATATTCATTCTTCGAAACAAGCTAAAAAACATGTTATTATTATTATTACTTACTTCTTCCTTATTATCATTACTTACTTCTTCCATGTGCATTTCAAATTGAAAGAAATTCCTTGTTTGGTTAAAACATATTTATATAAGCTCGATTGTGAAACAAGTTTTTGCGACTTGGAACCAACCAGTATTGGTGTCATATGAAGAAACATGTTCGTCCACGATCAGGGCTCGAACACATGATTATTGGGTTTAGAGGCAGACACCTTGACCACTAGACCACGGCTCCCCTAAAAGTCATTGTTTAAAATACAACTTGGTAAAAAAAACAATAATATTCTGTGTTCTTGTTTTTTTTTTAAATTTTTTTTTAAAAAAAAAAAAAAAGGGTTTTCCCAAAAAAAAAATTTTTTTTTGGGGCCCCCCCGGGGGGGAAAAAATTTAAAAAACCCCAAAAAAGGGAAAAAAAAAATTTTTTTAAAAAGGGTTTTTTTTAAAAAAAAAACCCTTTTTTAAACCGGAAAAAAAATTTTAAAAAAAAAAATTTTTTTTTTTTAAAAAAATTTTTTTCAAAAAAAAAAATTTTTTTTTAAAAAAAAATTTTTTTTTTAATTTTTTCCCCCAAAATTTTTAAAGGAAAATTTTTTTTAAAAAAAAAATTTTTTTTTTTCCCCCTTTTAAAGAAAGGTTTTAAAAAAAAAAAAAAAAGGGTTAAAAACCTTTCCCTTTTAAATTTTTTTAAAAAAAATTTTTAAATTTTAAAAATTTAAAAAAAAAACCTTTTTTTTTTTTTTTTTTTTAAAAATTTTTGTTTTCGTTTTTTTAAAAAAGGGGTTTAAAATTTTTTTTAAAAAATTAAAAATTTTTCCCAAAAATTTAAAAAATTTTAAAATTTTTTAAAAACCCCCCCTTTTTTTTTTAAAAAAAAATTAAAAAAAAATTTTTTTAAAATTTTTAAAAAAAAACCAAAAATTTTTTTAAAAAAAAAAAAGGGAAAAAAATTTAAAAAAACCCCTTTTTTTAAAAAATTTTTATTTTAAATTTTTTTTTTTTTAATTTTTTTTTTTTTGGGAACAAAAAAAAAAAACCTTTTTTTTTTTTTTTTTTGGGGCCCCAAAAAAAAAACCCCCAAAAAAATTTTTTGGGAAAAAATTTTTTTTGGGGGGGTTAAAAAAAAAAAAAAAACCCCAAATTTAAAAAAAACGAAATTTTTTTTTCGGTTTTTTTTTTTTCCCCCCCTTTTGGGCCCCCCCTTGGGGGGGTTTTTTTTTCCCCAAAAAAAAAAAAAAAAAAAAAAAAAAAAGGAAAAAAAAAAAAAAAAAAAAAAAAAAAAAAAAAAAAAAAAAAAAAAAAAAATTTTAAAAAAAAAAAAAGAAAAAAAAAAAAAAAAAAATTTTTTTTAAAAGGGGGGGGTTTTTTTTTTTAAAAAAAAATTTTTTTTAAAAAAAATTTTTTAAAAAAATTTTTTTCCCCCCGGGGAAAATTTTTTTTTTTTAAAAATAAGGGGTTTACAATTTATAAGGTTTGATTTTACTTTAAAATTAATTGAACAATTTTTTCAAAACCATAAAAGGGAAATTTATCGCAAAACCCCAAATTTTGCTCAATGTGCATTTTGATTTTTCCGCCCAATTTTGTTTCCCAAAAACGGGGAAATTTTATAAATACCTTTTTTTAACTAGTTTTTTAAAGTTATTTTTTTTTTTGTACAGCATTGGAAAAACTTTCAAAATTTTTTTGATAGTAGCAGCTTTTAGAAAAATTTACAATTTTAAAACTTTTACTAAAAAAAAGCTTTTGTAACAAAAGAAAAAATTGAAAGCTTTTTATTCATCTGCAATTTAATGATTACTGTATGTTTTGTGCAAATCACACTTCACAGTTATATATGTCTCAGACCCATGCTAACCCGTTATATTTTGGAGGGGTGTCTATCCATTTCATATTGATAGAAATTATCCTGAAGCGGCACTGCTTTCTGTTAAAAAGGAAGGACACTAAAACAGATTGTTTCTTTCAAAACGAATCTAAGACATATTGTTGTCATTGGAATATATGTGTGCCTTTGTAAGTATTAGTTTAAACTAAACTTGTATATAAATTTAAATTCAGTTCTTCATTAAATCGTCATTATATTCAGTAAGAAAAAAAACTCTTATATAAATGTTAATAAATCTAATTTCAATTCGTAAAGACATTCAAAGTATATTCGTTAAGAAATTTAAATTCAATTCGTTCAGAAATCTTAATTCACTTCGTGAAGAAATTTTAATATCGTAATGTTATGTGTTTATGTTTGCACCATAACTATTTTACCAACATTCAAGGGGGGAGAATCACGCCGTTCGTTACTCAAACAAACAAGATGGCGGATGCAGTCGAAAAATAAGTTTTTCCTTTTCTTCTCTGAAGTTCGTGACGTTCTTGTGTAAAGGTACATATAATAACCTTCTTCGCAATTTTTCTGGCACACAGGATTTTATTCCATGATGTTTCGTCCCGTACTTCATCTGAAATGCGCGTCACCAGATTCGAAGCGAGAGAATTTTCCACCCGTTTGATCGTGGTAACGTACGGCTTCTTCTCTCAAATTCACTGTTTCTTTTACATATATGTATATTATCTGAAACCACTGACTTTAAATGTTGTAATTTGTTGTCAAGTGAGTATCCATGCCTATTCTGGCTAGATTTACCGCTGTAAATATTAATATCGGGGCATTTTCCGGAAATGAAAACGTATGGCGCACAAAATATCAATGATAACGTACGGCGCATTTTTCTACTTGGTGTTTTTCCAATTGTCCTGTCAGCTGATAATGAATTATTTGTATGTAGGAAATGATACATATCTGAAAAAAATGTTTGTCAGTCCAGACATAAATAATTAACAAATGCTTCCCCATCGGGTATTATATTTTTTAGCTGGTGGCATAATAGATATTCGTTGTTAATATACTAACCTTTATCTACCTATTAAAACACACATGTATAGTTTGAGAATACTTTTGTATAAAACGCAAAACGGAAAGAAAAGCTCCAATTTCAGGAAACATTTGTGTATTGTTGTCTTCACATTGAATTAAAAGTGATTGAGACTAGCTTACATCCAGATGAAATAAGATTCAATCTGGTCTCTCATTAAAAGAAAAAAACATAACAGAGAATAATGAATGAGTGTAGGTTCTATATTGAATTTATTGAATGAGTAAATAATAATGTTATGCGAAAAAGTTCAATAAATTTAGTAAATAAGAAATTTCCTTCTGTTTTGGCGGGCAGTTAATATTTGAACGTGAACCTAGCCTTACAGTTTATTTTTTAATTTCAAATAAAAGAATCGTCATAATTTGATCAGAACAGTAACATGCAATTCATGAATTTGCCTATCATATTCTGGCGTTTTTTCCACAAACGTCCCAACAAAAACAATCAATTTCTTAAGAAAAAGTATTGTAGGCATCAACAATAAAAGAATGACATTGAAATCTGTTTATTAATTTCTAGTGGTATAAACGTGAAATATAAAGTTTCAAATTGAGTTTTTATCCATGCCGGAAAACCCGTCTGAAACCTTTAATGACAGCTCATGCGCTCGGATGACATCATTTTCTGTATGAAAGAACGGTTATAAAAATTACTACGCTACTATGAAAACAGTATTTACGAAGCATATGTAAGTGTTCATTCGTTCTACAGGTTCTACAGAAATTAGAAACTTCGACGGGAGCGATAGCGACAAATTTATAGTAAAACGCAGTTCTGTGAAGCACTATAAAAAATAGAAGACGACTATGAACGGAATTTGATATAGTATCGACTTTTGTTCTTCTATGAAAATAAACACACATAATTCTGAAGAAATACAGCGTTTCCATTGGATGACAAATAAAGTTGGACACTAATTTTATACAGATATTTGAAACTTGGGATCAAGTATAACTTTTGACGACACTTTATCTAAAATAATGTTTTAACCACCAAAAGTGGGAAAGCTGCTCTATATTCGAGTATGATATGCAAGAAAACATATCACTCGTTATTACTTATCGGATTTCAATAGTTCTATCCAATACGAAAACACATGACAGATATTATTATGTAAACACTAAATAATATTCAATTCCTTTATTTAGTTCTACACATCCTGTTATGTCTGCAAAAACCTGAGCGATAACTTTTCTATTCAAAACTAACTGATATATAGAAAATTCATTAAGCAGAAAAATGCGCCGTACGTTATCATTGATATTTTGTGCGCCATACGTTATCATTTCTCGGAAATGCCCCGATATTAATTTTTACAACGGTTATTCTTGACAGAATGGGCAAAGTTTTTAAAGTCAGTGGTTATATATGTAAACGAAACAGTGAATTTGAGAGAAGAAGCCGTACGTTACCACGATCAACCCGGTGGAAAATTCTCTCGCTTCGAATCTGGTGACGCGCATTTCAGATAAAGTACAGGACAAAACATCATGAAATAAAAGCCTGTGTGCCAGGAAAATTGTGGGGAAGGTTGTTGTATGTACTTTTACACTAGAAATCACGAATTGCAGAGAAAAAAAGGAAAAACTTACTTTTCGACTGCATCCGCCATCTTGTTTGTTAGGGTAACGAACGGCGTGATTCTCCCCCGCGTTATTTCTTGTTTCTTATTTCAACGTACATGAATCACGTACTTCCGCTGATATCTGCTAAACTCAAATATGGCGGCGTTTTTTCCCTTATGTTTGATAATGTGGTGTTTGGCCTATACAAGATGCGAAAGCTGTGTGACCGAGAGCAAATTCGCTGAACTTATAGAAGAAATGCGTGCATTAAAAGAAAAGGTATTGACTCTTGAGAAGAAACTTGATGCCAACGCCAAGCAAGAGAAAACGGAAACGGAATTTACCATTGTGGACAAGAATCAAGAGAATGAAACGGAAATTCACAAAACTGGCGTATCCAAAGTAGGAGGAATAAGGAACCGGACCATGCGAAACTTCGAATCTAAATCCATTAACGGTAAAAAGATAAAAAGTAAATGTTTAACTATATGTTATATACTAAGTATCGATATCAGATCTTGGAAATTTACTATAGTGTTTCCAATTATCTATGCAGAAACACAATTCGACTAAAGTTTAGATCTACTTATTTCTGATTACCATCGCATATGGTTCGCCTTAATTCATTATGATTCGGATTTCCCGAGAAAGCTATTTTCAGCCATGCAATCAAACCGGTATCAATATTGTTTTGCCAGTTTACCTGCAGGGTATATGGAAAACGCCGTGTTTGGTCTCTCGAAATTGTGAAAATTACCTAATCGGTATTGGTTTTCCAGCGGTTGAAATTTTAGAAAAAATGTGAAAGCTCACCGATGATTGGCCGTTTGAAAAATCACGAGACAGTTACAGCCTAGCTGATTTTAATCAGATTATGCAGAAACAATATTTACATTTGTGTGAGTCATGACTTTAAATAACACATTATGATTTACAACTTAGAGAAAATAACTTAAAAAATTCAACCGTGGCATATTTTTGCAATTCCTCGTTCATATTACAGGACAAGAGGTCACAAACGTTGCCTTTTATGCGTATCTAGGTGGAAAGCGTTGCTATGCAATGCACAAAGTCTTCATTTTTGACACAGTGGTAATTATCAACGTTTAATTATTATCATCGGTTTTCATTTATTTGGTTTGCTTCTGACTTTTTTCTTACGACTATATTAAAAGCCCGTAATCCTTAAGCAAACAATATAATGATGATGATGATGATGTTGCTACGAATGCTGGTTAACATGATGATGACGTGTCCTTTCAATTTTATATTCCTTCACATGCATGTTTTTTTGATATCATATGGAAGACTGGAAGACTATCAAAATAATTACTCGAGCCGAGTAGAGTCGAGTCGACTCGATTAGAGTAGAGTCGAGAAGCGTAGAGTCGAGTCGAGTCGAGTAGAGTTTGTTTGTTTGATTGGGTTTTACGTCACACCGACGCAGTATAGGTCATTTGGCGACGTTCCAGCTTTACTGGTGCAGGAAGACCTCAGGTGCCCTTCCGTGAATTATTTCAGGCACGAACGGCACCTGAGTAGAACCACCGACGTTCCGTAAGCTTGCTGGATAGCCTCCTCACATGAAAGAATCCAAAGTCCCTGTAGGGATTCGAACCCACAGCGGTGAGGGGCAAGTGGTTTGAAGTCAACGACCTTAACCACTCGGCCACGGACGCCCCTGTAGAGTAGAGTAGAGTAGAGTAGAGTAGAGTAAAGTACAGTAGAGTAGCGTAGCGTAGAGTAGAGTAGAGTAGAGCCAGGTAGGGGTGTACTTTGTTACTTGGAAATTCTGTATACTTACTGTGCCAAAATATTGGCAAATTCGGTATCAAAATTTGCAGAAATGCACTGACCACGCAGTAATGCACTTTGTATTGAAATTTGATGATTATAAACAGATTTACCAATCTTTTAGGAGACTAACGTTGGCAACGGTTACAACTCCCACGACGGCATATTTGATGCTCCTATCACTGGTGTATACGTGTTCACATATACTGTGACCCCAGACTTTCACAATTTTATTTATGCAGAACTTATCGTAGACGGCGTGATAAGGGATGTCATTATTGCAGATTCTCAAGAAATCCACGATATTCATCCAGCAACGGCCACTGCTGTTGTCCACGTAACTGCCGGACAGCACGTGTGTGTCCGAAAAGGGACGAACAGCAAATGCAACATCCTAAGTAACAACATCTCTAAAACAACGTTTGCCGGATGGTTGTTGTTTTAATTCTCTTTTGAGTGTAAAGATAATTTTATTGATAAAAGCAAACAATACGTGTCCAATTGATCAATGACGTATATATGTTGCTGGTAGTTACACAACAATATCCAAATGCGACATTCCAATACCATTTCTTAAAATTGTATAACTCGGCCTAAATCGAACTCACGAGTAATTTACCACACATTTAAAGCCGTAACCAAATAGCTTGAGAAAGACATAAAATGCACCAAAGGTGTCTTAAACCTCCAAAATATATCTCGACAGCCTTAAAAACTCGGAATATAAAATTATAATCATTGAATTTATCCCAGTTAAATGCTAGCTCGTCAGAATCAGCAGCAAGAAACATTAGTATTATTCCTTTACGAAGGAAAAACTTTCAATACTTTCAATAAGTAAAGATCTATTTTTATAATTAATATTATAATTAAAATCAACATCGCACTCAAATTCATAAAAAAGAGCACTATATGCGGTGTTAACACTCGTCTGTTAACCCATTACTTCATGACCATTTTGTGAAAAATGGCTGTTTTCATTGAAAAGCCTCCCGTTACAAGTTCAAATTGCTATAAAACTATAAAAACTGCTTCAATACTAATCAAGCTTGGCACAAATGTTGACTGCATCGTTGCCTTTGTAACAACATGCTCAATCTTAAATTTCCTGTTACCATGGCAACGAGGGGACATCTCAAAATTGCCAAAAAATACTATTTTGCGTTGTTTTTTTCTATCAAAATTGATTTCAAAGTGCTGCAACTTCTCAATGGATTCAGATAGAGTCAAAGGCTTTTCAGCGTTGGTTACACGTTACCTTAATATCGACCTTGAGTCATTTTCAGCCTCTCACAAGTCCAAAAATTTATTGGCGATGAGGAGGACTACCACACCCCTTCAACCCCCCCCCACCCCCAAACAGAAGGGGGGAACATCCCCATTCTGGCAACCCCTTCATGTAACTTTTGGATAGGGGCGGCGCCGAAAAAGTGCTCACTATTTTATCAACATTTTTCAAAAGAAAACGTGTTTTGGGCCCAGGACATTTTTTCACTATTTGAGGCCTAAACGTGTGTGTGTGTGGGGGGGGGGGGGGGGGTCGAAAGTGCGTAGTTTCGCATATATATGAGGTAAAGGGTTTTGACAAATCACTTTTGACAAGAATTCTAATCTAAAAAGGGTCAATTAGCCTAAAAATATAGCTTTAAGAATTATGCCACTTGTCTAACAACTGCACCAGGTCAGGATAAGCAAGTATTCGTGTTCGTAACTTTAAATGTTTGAAAAATGGGCTATATTAAACAAATTTTCACGACGATAGCGATTCTTCGAAACAAGCTAAAAAACATGTTATTATTATTACTTCCTTCTTATTATTACTGACTTCTTCCATGTGCATTTCAAATTGAAGGAAATTCCGTGTTTGGTTAAAACATATTTATGTAAGCTCGTTTGTGAATCAAGTTCTTGCGACTTGGAACCAACCAGTATTGGTGTCATATGAAGAAACATATATGGTCGTGCTCGATCAGGGCTCGAACACATGATCCCTGGGTTGAGAGGCAGACACCTTATCCACTAGGCCACGGCTCTCATGAAAGTCATTGTTTAAAATACAAATTGGTAAGAAAACAATAATAGTCTGTGTTTTTGTTTTTTATTTTATTTTACTCTATATCTTTTTGCTTGTTCGCCTTTTTACAACAACATAGCAGTATATGATTTAACACAAAATTACCCAAATAGATACATATATCACCCAAATAAATATGAACAAGTTATGGCACTTTATTTAATGCATTGCCTAGAAGACAATGCAAAATACGTAACAGAATATATTTCCCAAAGAATTTATATTTCTATTAACAACTATACATTTAAATAATGATTCACAATCATAATCTTCAGAGGAGCAAAATAACAATATTATAATGACCTCTTTATTTCACACCACCATTTTTAATTTGACAGAAGTTCGAGTACATATTCTAGTATTTGTGATAAGATGTTTGCTGCACCCTCTTATAAAAGTACATAAAAATTTCAGCATCAAAGAACGAGTTGTCAGTTTGACAGCATGCTCAACTATTCTCAGTGCTTGATAATAAAAAAATGTTGAATTTGAAAAGTTCGAAAAAAGGCCAATAACTCAAAAATCCATCTTAGAATTAAGAGCCTTGAAAAGTGACCTGCTATTCGGCTGTTTGGTGCGAAAGGGTTGTAACTCCATCTTTATGTCATATGGGTTACGACCCTTTTGCATTAAGCCTGCATATTATGTTCTCAAATAAGTGTATAAAGTTTTACCCCATCCCCTTCAGTAGTTTTGGAGATACCAACTTACATGAAAAAAATTAACTAAAGTGTGAGGCATACACCTAAGTGAGTACAATAGCTATCCCTATTCTTTGAAAAATCATGCTCAAAATGGGAAATCAAACAAATTATGTCATATAAACAAGAACTAATTTTTCAGAAATGTACATTATGTATTTTATAGAAGGTTGTAATGTATCTCCATGGTTTTGAGAACATAATACATGTATATAACTGGTGTCTTTTCACACTACACATCATATAATCTTATCATGTGTTGGTCAAGGTCAAGTTCAGTTAAGCATATCTTTACTGTCATCAAAAATAAACTTGTAACCAAATAAAACAATTAATAAATAAAATAATCTCAAATTGTTATACAAAATACTATAATCTAAACTTGTATATCTAATTTTCCAAATGCCTTTACAATTGACAATCATATCTGATGAATGTTTTCTCTTTTCGTTGGGGCTTTTACTACATGCCAACACACTAGAGGTCATATAACAACTTTCAAGTTTTCCTGGTGGAGGAAGTCCTCAGGTGCCCATCCATACATACTGACGTTCGTTCGCTAGCCTAATAGCTTCCTTACATAAACAAGAGGGCCATGATGGTCCTAAATTGCTCACCTGAGTCAGAATACTTGTTAATTTGGTTTTTTTTTAAAAAGACTATATGCATATAAGGAAAATCAATGATCCAAGGGCCGGGCCAATTTTTACCTCGGTGATTTTATTGAACAAACTTGCTAGACACTCATTAGAAGATGCTTAATGCTTAATATCTAAGTTCTAGCTCTTTGGGATTTTAAAGAAGATTTTTTTAAGTTTTTACTATATACATATAAGGAAAATCAATGACCCCAGGGCCGGGCCAATTTGACCCAGGACTTTTATTTGAACAAACTTGCTAGACACTCATTAGAAGATGCTTTATGCCTAATATCTAAGCTCTAGCTCTTTGGGTTTTTAAAAAAAGATTTTTTAAGTTTTTAATACATGTATATACATATAAGAAAAATCAATGACCCCCACTGTGGACAGATTTGACCCCAGGGCTTTTATTTAAACAAACTTGGTAGACACTCACTAGAAGATGTTTCATGCTTAATATCTAAGCTCTAGCTATTTGCGTTTCTTAAAAGAAGATATTTTAAGTTTTTCCTTTGGTTGCCATGGCAACCAGAGTTTTGCATGGAATTAAATTCTTTGAACAATTTTTAAAGGGGACCACCAAAGGAATGTTCCCGTGAATTTGGTTGAAATTGGCTTAGAGGTTTATGAGGAGCTGTCATTTAAAGTAAAAGTTTACAGGTGGACAGAAGACAGACGCCGGACGAAAAGCGATCACAAAAGCCAACCATGTCAATTTGTGACAGGTGAGCTAAAAAATACAATGTCCCTGGTGGGACTCAAACCTACAGCCCTCAGGGAGCAATGGTTTGAAGTCAATTACCTTAACCACACAGCCACGGACACCCCTTTGATAAAGGTATTGAATTCACGAACAAATATATAATATAATATTATTGAGATTCCATTAAAAAACAAATAACATTATCAAAACAAGGAAATATTGTCCATTTAGCTTTTACATCGCCAAGTTCAAACATTCTAGGTCGTCTATGTGCTGATGACTAGCAATTCATTACTGCTCAATTAAAAGCCTGTTTGACCTAGTACTTTCTTACACTAAACATTCACAACCAAAAGAACATTCAGGGAAAATATGTAAGAACAATTTAAATGAATGGAATTGAATGGTGTTCAGTGATGTTGATGGACAATGTAAATTATTTTGTGCACGTCATTGTATAGCAAATAAGAACACAGGTTATGCTTTAAACTAGAAAAATTGAAAGCCCTTAAAGGAACTTCACTGAGAATTTTAGATATGATAGGACTGGAAATAATATTTCAAGATTAATGTTTCATTTAATGCAGGTCTAGATAAATAACTTGAGTGCAAAAGATATTTCCTCACACTGTTTTTCCAAAATAACTCTTCTAATTGTGACAATTAATCCAAAATTGAAAAGCGTTGCAACACTTTTCACTGAAATCTGGCTTAAATAGCACACAAATTCGAGTTTTAATTTATTACTTAGTATATTCCTACAATTTTACATTTTTCCTATCTTTCTGTTTTAATATATAAATATAAGAAATTCAAATTAGAATATATATTATGCTAAAGTTTGAAATTTCACAATATCAATAATTGCTACAGTTATTATGTTTTACGTAACACACATAGTATAAATGTCATGTTTAAAACTCTACACACTACCGGTAAACACAGTTTGAATGTAATGCCCTTAAAAAACTGGCAGTAAGGACAATATTTAAGCAGAATGCCTCCAGATTTATGCAAATTTTCATGAACATTTGGAAAATGCATTTTAAAAGTGCAATATTGTGAAAAGAACAAAGTTGGTTATTTGCACATTGCCAACAGCACTTTCAATCCATGTAATTTACCTAAACGAGGTCATAATATGCACAAATAGCCCAATCTGCGTTAGTCACACAGTAGAAATATGGTGATAAGTACTACAAATTCAGTCATTAATTGCACATAACATGTAAATTATTAATTGAATCTTGAATCAGTTATTTAAAATCTTAGTACATTTTTTTCTCAAATTTGATTTCCTGGGAATATTTTGCTATCTCTGGAGGCGTGCATTTTTAACTGGTTCTATAATAAGGAATACAGATATATTTCAGAAATGAATTTTGCATTCTCTTATTCAAATTAGAAATATTCAGTGACAATTTCCTGGATTTCAATAAATTTTTGCAATAAGAGTATTTAACATAAATAAAAGCATAGTACATGTATATCTTAAACAAAGAGGACTTAATATAAAAATATATCTAATCATATTTAACTTATTTGCGATGTTGTATGTACAGTTAAGTGCAAATTGAATACACTTAAGCACACTGAGGGCCCAATAAAGTTTATTCTATACAGTTTCATAATGAAGAACCCAAAAGAATTATTAGCCCTGGAAATGTATATCTATAATAATCATAAAGGTCACAGTATTGTGATTAGCCCTAGATAATGCATATCTAAATGTACGCTGATAATGAAGCATACAGAATTGCAGTAAGCCCTGGAAATGAATAATCCAATATCTACATGTATATGTGTTTGAACAGAATTAAAATAAGGCAATCATATAAGCCTCAGTAATTCTCAATATATTTTGCATAGTCATGATATGTGAAATAAGATCATCTACAATCCAAGCAACATAGAACAATCCTGTCAGCTGTTGTAAGACTTTGGTAAAACTATCAAATTGTCTGCATCTGAAATACAAAACACAAAATGTGTGATATATGATATCAGATATGTGCCACTCAATATAATATTTCAACTGCAAGACTGACCACATTTACAAACTTATATTTCATAGATGTTGGTCTTTTTGAAGCGTGACTATTGTTTATATAATACAAAAACCCCGGCACACAATTCGTTTGGGCTAGCAACACACTCATCTCTCCTCTGTGTTAAATGGTAAAACCTAGAGGTGTTAAATGGTAAAACCTAGAGGTGTTCAATGGTAAAACCTAGAGATATTCAATGATAAAACCTAGAGGTATTCAATGGTAAAACCTAGAGATATTCAAAGGTAAAACCTAAAGGTGTTCAATGATAAAACCTATAGGTATTCAATGGTAAAAACCTAGAGGTGTTCAATGGTAAAACCTAAAGGTATTCAATGGTAAAAACCTAGAGGTGTTCAATGGTAAAACCTAAAGGTATTCAATGGTAAAACCTAGAGCTGTTCAATGGTAAAACCTAGAGATATTCAATGGTAAAACCTAGAGGTGTTCAATAGTCCTAGAGGTGTTTAACGGTAAAACCTAGGTGTTCAATGCTTAATCAAAAGCATTTTCCTAAGGATTCTAAAACATTAATCAATAGCATTTTCCTTATCAATGGCTTTTTTGCCAAAGGATTCTAAATAGTTTAATTAATAGCATTTTCCTAAGAATTCTAAGACTAATGCCACATACAATAAAATTTATAAAATTTTAATGTATCAAGATTTCCATTTTCCTTTCAAAAGATATTAAAAAAAAAGGATTTTTACCATTTTCATATAAAATATTTCCCAGCACCAATCCAAAAAATGTGGCATGTTCTTTATCATTTACATCCTGTGGTATATATTCCCTGAAAATGTAAAAACAGAAAATATTCTATGAAAAATACAATCCCTGTTTATTAAATTCTAGAATATGTTTATTGAAAAACATTTAATGATATTATTTAAAGGTCATTTTTATTTCAGTTGTTTAAAAATCCTGTAACTCCTTGTTTATGGTTTTATATCATAAATATAATGCTCAAATGAAAATTTATCAATTTTGTAAGTTCCAAAAAGCATTATTTGTAAAGATTATACCAAATAAACATTTTCATGGTAAGGGAGGTAATTAAAAATTTATTTTCTATAAAGTTTAAGTCAAATTTTTCAATAAGAAATGGATGCATATATTTTAATGATTACATATAATGTGAACAAATATTTGCATTACATATTCTTCAATTTTTGAAAATTGTTTTAGAAGCATAATTATATACATATATAAAATTTCACTCAAATGTGGTAACAACCTTAATTACAACACACAGGATCTTTAAATAATTTACAAAACAAATCTAGCTACATTTCTACATCACAACCAAATTATTACTCAAATTCCACGACAATTTAGTTCAAGACCAGGAAAGAATAAGGGATGACATTTAAAAACTTTATTTCTATTTTTAGCTTTAGCATTCATCTTGCGAAGCTGATGAGTACATTTTAAATTGCTGTTTTCATTCAGTGCCAACAAAACTTCTTTCCTGTAAGTATCAAGAGGACATGTCATTTTTTTAAGCTTATTTCTATTTTCAGTGTCAGCAACCATCTTGTTCAGTAGAGTAGAACATCATAAAACTTATATTTATAGGGACTACTCTAGAATTATTCCCCTTGAGTTTCATCAAAACTACTCAGCAGTTAACAAAACAAGAAATCATTTTTTTTTTTAATGTTTCTTTTTGAAGCTCAGCAGACTGTCACAATTTTACCTATGTATTATATTTGTAAAGGATTTCGACAAACGATCATTCCTATTGAGTTTTATCAAAATCTGCTCAAATCAGAACGAATTTCCTTTTCTTGGCTCTTAGCGGCAGATTGAAACAATTCTAGCTATCCTTCTAAAGGAGCACTAAATGACCCTATGGCTTAGTGGTAAACGAGATTTTGTTTCAGATAGACAAGGGTTTTATCAATTTACACAGAAAGCGGGCTGGAATGTTTCTAGGCTAGTGATATAGGCTACCCAAAGCCCTGAATAACTGCCACAGAGTAAACAGGTAAAGTTTACAGAGGGCTGATATATTCTTGGTACATGTACTTAAAAATTAATAACTTTTTTTATTTCATTGCTTAAATAACCTTCCTATCCCAAACTTTGTCAATTTTCTTTTCAATAAAAAAATTGTAATTAACTAGTTTTACAAACTAAAAATTTCTAACATCAGCCAATATCATAATAAATGGGTCATTTCCAGGAACATTTTTTTTACAATCTTCGGTATTCAATAATTTTTAACCGTATATAACTGGAACTTAGTACATAGTGATAAAGGATGAGTAATTGTAAATTATCTAAAACCCAAGATTTTGAAAAAATATCAGCCAGGAAATAACCGATTTGCTACGATATTGGCCAATGTAAGAATTTTTTGGCGGGAGAGCACTACAGTAAGACTACCTGGTTTTTTTTTTTTTTTTTTGTAATGCGTTTATTTAAGGTCGCCGCCGGAAAGCCCATATGGGCGACCGTACACTCAAGTCAGGCCATCCTAGAGCGCCCCGCCGAGATTTTTTGTCGATTTCTTTCCAGCTTTATTGGTGCAGGAAGACCCCAGGTGCCCCTCCGAGCATTATTTCAGGCACAAGCGGGCACCTAGGTAGAACCACCGACCTTCCGTATGCCAGCTGGATGGCTTCCTCACATGAAAGATTTCGACCCGAGTGAGGATCGAACCTACAGCGGTGAGGGACCTGTGATCTCAAGTCAGCGACCTTATACTTTAAAGATCCTGTATGTTGTAAATGAGGTTGTATACGACAATAACCGTAAATGAAATTTCATATACATATATAATTATGCTTATAAAACAATTTTCAAACATCGAAGAATATGTAAAATATGAACTGCAAATATTTGTACATATATTTAATCATTAAAATATATGTATTCATTTCTTAATGAAAAATTTGACATAGTCTTTATAGAAAATCAATTTTATTACCTCCCTTTATTTACATGAAATGTTAAATTCGGTAATATCTGTATAAATAATGCTTTTTTGAACTTACAAAATTGATAAATCTTAATTTGAGGATCATATTTATGATATAAAACCATAAAAAAATTGTGTTACAGGATCTTTAATTAATACATGTACAATCTACATATCATTTATCAATAATATTATTAGATACATTTTCATTATTCCCTACCGGTTATAAAACACTTACCAGCCAATATGTTGCCTACATCCAGGGCAAGCCAAGATGATCCAGTTAAATCCTGGCCACCAGGTGTCACCACCAGTCTCCTATAATACAAGCATATCTGGATATAATCTGAAAATAACTGTTTATGCAAATCTTGAACATTATCTGGAAATTACAGTTCATATACATGTAATCTTAAAATTATTGTTAATGCTCATGTTAAATATAATCTGGAAATCACAGTTTATGCTAATGTGAGACATGATCGGGAAATCTCAATTCATGCTAATGTTTGATATATTGTAATCTGTAAATTAATTGTTCATGCTAATGATATAATCTGGAAATTACTTTTATGCTAATGTTGGATATAATCTGGAAATTACTATTGCAAAATTTTACACATAATCTGGAAATCTCTATTCATGCTAATGTTGGATATATTGTAATCTGTAAATTAATTGTTCATGCTAAATGATATAATCTGGAAATTACTTTTATGCTAATGTTGGATATAATCTGGAAATTACTATTACTAATGTTGGATATTATCTGGAAATCTCTATTCATGCTAATGTTGGATATATGTAATCTAGATACATGTATTAACTGTTTATGTTTGATACGTATAATCTGGAGATCTTTGTTTTACTTAAAGCTTATGTTAGATATAATCTATCACTGTTCAAGGTTATGTTGAATATAATCTTAAAATTACTATTTATGCTTATGTTTGATATAAGTTGGAAATAATTATTTCTGCTAATGTTGTATATAATGTGAAAATTATTATTTATGCTACTGTTGGAAATAATCTGGATAAAACTGTTTACTCTAATGTTGGTTCAAGTCATAAACATAACATTAATTCAAGAAAAAGTTTATAAGTACTGTGTCAGTCAAGAGTGAATGATATTATGGTATCATGTCAATATATGTGGACAACTTACTGGACTGGCTCGCATTACATTAGCTTTTGTAGATGTTACCACTTCATACTGCGCACCTGAAATACAACATGGAAATCAGTAAAGATATGCCATATTTACAGTACCCAACAAATGATTGTATGATGGAAAGATACAAAATGTGATAAAACTGATGATGGTTTTCACAATAAACTTAAGAGTTCTTGTTGGCAATAAGTCTTCTAGCATTATGGAAGAAACAGTATTCCACCGGACCAGTGGTTATAATCAGGTAATTTTGACACAGAAACACAATTACATTGCGTGCACACAATATAACTATCATGTGGGCACAATAGTACATAAAAGATTTCCTTGTGTCCCATTTATGCCAACTTTATCTCCTTTATGCCTAAGGATAGAAGATAATCTAATAGCATCAAATAAACAGGACATCGAGTTTTACCTCATATTACACCAGTATTACTTAGTTCTAGAAAGCTGACTACAAAATGGTCCAAATATGATATGAGCCGTGTCATGACAAAGCCAACATAGTGAGTTTGCGACCAGCATGGATCCAGACCAGCCTGCGCATCCGCGCAGTCTGATCGGGATCCATGCTGTTCGCTTACAAACCCTATAACAAGTAGAGAAACTGATAGCGAACAGCATGGATCCTGTTCAGACTGCGCAGATGTGCAGGCTGGTCTGGATCCATGCTGGTCGCAAACCCACAATGTTGGTTTTGTCATGACACGGCCCATATATGCTTTCTTCACAATGGAGCTTAAATAGCTAATAGGCTTTGGTTTCCCTGGCTATAGACTATACATGTGTATATAAAAGAAAATCAAATGAAAAACAATTAAAAATATATAGATTTCTATACTTATCAGTAAAATTTTCAGTGTCATAGGTTAAAAACAGAACCGGTGCATGAAATACCAAATGACACTTTAAAAAAATAAATATATTTTTTATATGACACCCATAGGCTTTGTCTACTTTCATATTATTTTAATGCAATAGTAAAATATGTACTAACTTCTTCCCTAAACAACAATACGCATTACCCACGGCCGAACCTATAACATTTGATTAAATGTTATGTTACATGTTAATCAACCATGGGTGTCTTATGATGACTTAATTCATACATCAAAACCAATACCATGAGGGTTTTTAAATCGTTGTATCAACACTCCTCGTTTAGTTCCGAAAGTGTCATTCCTCTGCCTCATAGCAACGTTACTGGGAATATTCACCATGTCCGATAACTGGAAGATTTCTCTACCACACCGTCGGCACAGGAAAAAATCTGGAAATGTGAGAAAATCAGCTTTAATAATACAGTTCAAACAATGCATGCCCTTTCTATATTCAACACAATATTAATGGTCATATCAAATGACATATGTGTGTTCTATACTTCAACACGATGATAATAGACAAATCAAATAAAGTATGCTTGTCCGTCTGTCCGTTCTCTTTTGTGTTGCATGTAACTCAAAAAGTATTTGACCTAGAGTCATGAAACCTTACAGGAATGTTGATCAGCATGTGTAGTTGTGCACCTGGGTATTTTCGTCTGGATTTATTCAGTATTTTTAGAGTTATTGCCCTTGACTTAGTAAAAATTTGCAATTTTCAACTTGTGTCGCACGTAATTCAAAAAGTATTTGACCTAGATACATGAAACTTTACAGGAATGTTGATCAGCATGTGTAGTTGTGCACCTGGGTATTTTCGTTTGGATTTATTTAGTATTTTTAGAGTTATTGCCCTTGACTAAGTAAAAATTTGCAATTTTCAACTTGTGTCGCACGTAATTCAAAAATTATTTGACCTAGAGTCATGAAACTTTACAGGAATGTTGATCAGCATGTGTAGTTGTGCACCTGGGTATTTTCGTCTGGATTTATTTAGTATTTTTAGAGTTATTGCCCTTGACTTAGAAAATTTTTGCAATTTTCAATTGTGTCGCATGCAACTCAAAAAGGATTTGACATAGAGTCATTAAACCGTACGGGAAGGTTGCTCAGCATATGTAGGTATGCACCTTGGGTTTCGCTTGTGGATTTATCCAGTATTTGTAGAGTTATTTCACTTGACTTAGTAAAAACCGTTTCATTATGTAGTGTTATTTGTTCCTTGAGTGCTTGAGTTAGAATCAACCAACTTTACAGGAATAATGATCAACATCACTAAATTACAGGAATAATGATCAACATCACTGTGAAGCTATGCACCTGGGACTTTGTATGTGGATTTTTTCTGTTTTGTTAGAGTTATTGCCCTTGACTTACAGTAGTATAAATTTGCAATTTTCAGCTTGTTCATGCATAGCTCAAAAAGTATTTGACTTGTAGGCCTGAAAGTTTACAAGAATGTTGGTCAGCATATGTACTTATGCGCCTTGTGGTTTGCTTGTGGATTTATTCAGTATTTGTAAAGTTCTTGCCCTCTACTTAGTAAAAGATTTTTAGTTTTCAACTTGTGGCACATGTAGTCCAAAAAATATTTGACCTTGAGTCATAAGATTGACAGAACAGTGGCGTGTGGGGGCAACCGTGTCCTATGGACACATTTCTAGTTTTGGCTTATTTTACAGCCGATATTTGGTCATATTCCCTATTGAAAATAGTATATTATTTTCCCAATCCACAAAAAAATATTAAATAACAAATTCTAAAATCTTTGAAAATAAGGGCCTCTTCACTGTTATGGTGCTTAAATGTTTGAAGATGCCATCCTAGACATTAATAATGATTAATTCATTTAATCTTTGAAAAATTTATCTTTTTCCCAATTTTTAACAAAACAACGCTGAAGTTGCCAATTCCATGGGTATGGGTCATGTTCCAAAATCCTAGAAAAAAAAAACCTGGCCAAAAGTATGCTAGAGTTTTCAATAAAAACTCTGAAGTGCATTTCATATAGCAAATTGAATAAATCAATTTCTACCATTTTAATTTATATTATTCTTTTGATTACTTGATAAAGAGTACTTTTGATATCCATGCTTCCTCAGAAAAGTTACAAAATATTAAATGCATAGAACTTATCTGAAAGTCAAAATACAAACGTGTCCATACTGTGCTGATGCCCCCCCCCCCACACCCACTTATCCCTCATTACACTGTTTTGTCTGCTGACATACAGCAGGACAGTATGACAACGGAATTTCTACATGACTCCTCTTAGCCATGAGTGAAAGAGATACACACAAAAAAAGTTGAAAACTGCAAATGTTTTTATTTTTTTATTTGATTTTTACTTCTCAAAACATTTTTTTAACAACTAAGCAAAAAGCATCCAACTGATCCTATTTGAAATAGAATAGTTCAGATTTTATATAATTTATAGGCAAGTGCAAATCTATTTTCCACTAAGGTGAAGCATTTAAACATTAAGTTCATGATTATCCGAATACTGTGTTATAGTCAAGCACTAATCCAATTAATTAAAAGTTAAAATTGCAAACTCATTGATTTTTTTCTTAAATTCAAAGTACTGTTTGTCATTTTACCATGAAGATCGACAGATCCAGCAAACATGACATTGTTGACAACACTTAAAATTCCAAAAAGTACTAAAAATTTCAGAATTGACAAAATATTTCCATTCATGGGCGCTGACATTTTTGAACTTGCATCATGGGATTTGCTTACATTCCAAAATTGCATGACAGTTGTCACGTGGATTACCCATTTTCTGACCAATCGGCTGCAACTTGGAAATTGGCAACCGCTCTTCCGTCCATTTATTTTACCATACGTTACACCAATCTTTACATTAAAGCTATGCAACAATCAACAATATTTGTACATATTTTGATGTAATAATCTTAGTAAAATTAACATTAAAGTTACCGAGGCCTGAACTTGACGAAAGCTCAAGCACTTATTTTGCAAACTGCTAGAAAAACAAACAGTTAAAAATAGACCAGAAGTTAATTTATGCGACCCACAAAAACAGCTCTTATTACGGATGATTGACATATTGTCATTCCTGAAAACAACAGGTCAAACTGTGAAATTATGCTTTTCTGGCGTTTAAAATGATGGTGTAAAGCTCTTTTCGTCAATATATTAAACAATTCATTAGTCAAGTTGCGTAATACTTCCACCTAATGCCGTATTTCGCCAGATTTAGGAAATCAACAGCTGATCTAAGCAACCTTCACCTTCAGCAGCTACCGGTTAGCCAATTAGAATCGGAAGGCGTTTGCCGCTAGACCAATGAACGTTGCCAATTTAGATCACATGGTTTTGTTGATATCGTCAAGAAACCCCGCCTACAAATAGATCATCAAAACAAACCGGCTTAATTACCGGCATATGTTTGTGAAGGAAAAGTTAAATTATAATGCTAACTTTTGAGATATTTTTTAATTTCAATGTGTCAATCAGTGTTTAAAGTAATATTTTGCGAAACTTCATAAGCATCGACTCAGTATGTTTGGAACAAGAAGGCTCGCAAAGCGGTCGATTGTGGGCACCCAGGTCGCTGCGAAATTGCAAGATGGCCGATATTATCCCGGTGTTATTGAAGGAATAATGCACGAAGAAACTATGTTTACAGACGCTATATACACTGTTAAGTTGGAAGACAATGCACAAAAGAATGTGAGTGTAAACAATATAATCGGTCATGGATTTCAACCAAACAGCTCTGCAGTGCTTAAATGTGATCAAAAAGTATTTCTGACTTTGAACGGAAGAGAGGTCACCGGTCTTGTTGTAGACCACAATCTTGATGACGATGAAGTGTTGATCAAAGCTCAACTAAGTAGCGGAGAATATGTTGATGTCACTAAGAGGATAGAGGAAGTTAGACTTATGAAAAGTAGAAAGTCAGCCCGATTGGCAGAGGTCGATACAGACTATTCAAAGCTAGCTGATCTCCAGTTGTCCGAGGCCAGAAAAAGGCCGGTATCATCTGGAATTGATGTGCCGAACAAACAAATGTAAGATTGTATAACTTTTAGTAATTAACTGTTACCTGTTATCTCATATACAAGCATCCAGAACTGATAGCACCGCTGCCTTGCCTTTTTTGAGTTGCAAAACACAGGCGACTGTGATATATTTCTTTTCAACCTATAACTTTTATATATACATGTATACCCAATTCAATATAAGGATCTTCCTTTTTTTTATTTTGAATGTTTCTATAGAACTTCTATGCAGTAACTAACAGAATATACATGTACAATTAAGTACTTTTATATTCTTTATATCTAAATTGCCTTTTTGAATGAGCATATGTATGCATGCTCAAAAAATCATTTAATTAATTGTGAATTGGCAATTGCTGACACTAAAAGTTACTAAAACTAATTTACCATTTCCCTAGTTCACATTATAATTTGAGTATTATCTATTGCTAGATATGTTGCTTTAAAAGATTTGGATTATCTTGTTAAAACTTTATAAGATAGTAATAAATATAGAGAAGAATGGATAATTTTTTCCAAGCATTAATTGATTCAATAAGGTTACATTTATAATTTATATTTATCCAATCAGAACTGTCAAACATATATGATATCAACAATGATCAAGATATTGTAAAGAATAGAAATAACAATGAATTTTATCATTTCAATGATATAATGATATTTGTATATATGATAATGTTATATAACTTTATAGTGTTCAATTTTGATTATAAATTAAAATGTGTACAGGTCTTAAAACATTTTATGTATGCCCTGAAAAAGGGTTGATTATCTTTTATAGAGTAATAATCTTAAAACTTTAGTGTTTAGCTTGAAACACAATGAAGTACTACCAATAGATTGAAGTACTGTGTGTGAAGATAAAATTTATCACCTATGTACCACGTTGACCTCTTGTTTGACCTTTAAGATTAGAAGTGGCCAGTCAGGCTTGTCCAGTAAACCAGCAATACACAAATATGTCCTGGTCAGTGTTGGTCAAGTGATGTAAGAGAAGGAGAAAGGATAGCTCCTGAGGGCATTTTGACCAATTAACTGTATCTGTCTTATCTATCTACCATTTGTTTACTATTAAGTGATAGAACAATTCAATTAACAAATGCTATGTAATTAATATTAATTAATATTTTAGATGTTGTTACATTTTGTTAATAAAAACCAAATATTTTGATTGATTTGGTAAAGATATGAAAATTCAAAAATTAATAAAGCCTGGTTAACAAAATAGCAATAACTGAATGTTAAAATATTATTTTTTTGGGGGGCGGGGGGGGGGATGTTGCTTTTTCAAAGAGAATTTCCAGTGGACTTATATAGAATATAACAACAAATGTATATTGTTAACAGACAAAATAAAAAAAGTGAATTATATTATAATATCATTATAGCTATATACATGTATATACATGTAAAGAAAACATCATATTTGTCTAAAGTTTTGCAAACACCTAACTTACTACATACATCAAGTTATTTGTGAATTCATTTTCATGTTTATACAATTCTAAAGTATTTAATTCAATATCGATATATAATTCTTATATTTCTGCACAGGTGAATAACACTTCTTTCGATTATATAACTGGTCAATGGTGAAATATTGGGCACTGACCATTGGTATTTAATCTGGCCATTCACCAGTAAATAGAAGTGTAGATCATTTCAGAACATTAAACTTTTAGCATGAAGATATACACTTTGTATTGACAACAGGTTTAGTGTTTGTTTACCTAGAAATAATGTCTTATTAAATTGGTGTACACTGAGGAATTTCTAAAGTATTGCACAACATTTGGACAGAAAGTGTGCATTATAAATGGTAAAAACCGATAAATAAATCAAATAGGGATTCTATTAAATCAACCAGGTTTTTTTTTTATGGGTTTTCTTATTTCTGTTCATAAATTATGAAATGCACATTGAAAGGTTACTTATAATAAAGACACCCTCATAATGTAAACATTTCAAATTTGAAATGGTAATTTAAATTAAAACCAATTATAGAATGTTATATCATAACAGGATGTACAGTCAATAACAATGGAACTGAAATTAGCTAAAACTGACCGGGTCTAAATGCTGTTTATCTTAATTTTAAATGACCCCAAACTGACTATTGAGTCTCTCATACCATTTTATCTTTAAAATACCAGAGTTTATCAGTAAATCCTAAGTAACATATTACATAACCATTAAATCTAAGTGCGTAAATTTTATTTTCTGAGTGCAAGTTGCTTTAAGTATAAATATATATTCACATGATCAATATTATGCTGATGTCATAAAGATCCGTCAACCTGTATATATAGTGACGGGAATTCTCTTTATTTAATTTTAAACTATGTACAGTGCTATAAATAGCTTGACGTTTATACCTGTACAGGTAAAATGCGAAAGTAGGTCACTTTACGACCTATATTTCTCGAGCATGATCGCAATCTGTCATTCAAACATTTTTATCATGAATAGGCAATTAGGCGGCCTATTATTTGCGTCCACATTCTATTTGTGTAAGAAATTAAATCTTTTGGTGTTAAATAAAATATTGAATATGAATTTGAATTGTTAAATTTGTATAATATATTGCATCATATATCAAAACTTGGTTTAATAAAAATTAAAGTGTAGGTGCTATACTTTTATGTAACATTGTAGTACAATATATGAATTTTAGAAGAAAAAAAAAATGACATAAATTATGTTTTGAATATTTGCATAGAAAATTGGCTGTGTAAATAATAATAAATAAATTATTATTTATAATCATACATATAAAATTCATATCTTTAAAAGTTTAACTCAATATATACAAATTAAACATTACCAATACAGGACAGGCAATTTAATGTAATGAGATTTTATAAGTAGCTTTTAATGATTCTTATATATCCTAAGTGATATAATGAAACAAAAATGTAACACTTTTAGACTTTGGATTAGCAAAAAACAATTAATTTTCTATTTACCACAAATGTCATTTAGGCATATGACATATTAAGTATTATTATTATTATTATTATTATACTAAAAGTGTCTGAGTGACCTAGTTTTCTGGTAATGATATCATGTGATGTGTTTAAATTTAGAATATTGTTTTTTATATACATTTTTTTTATTTAGGTATTTTTTATCTTCTTATCAAAGAAGGCCAGATTTACTATTTATATGAATTTAGGTAATTGGCCAATGAGTTAAATTCTCAAATCTATAATTAAAGCAGCATGCCTCCAGAATCATGCTAATTCTCATAAAAATTTTGAAAATGTATTTAAAAGTAAAATACTGTGAAGTGAACAAATTAAGTAATTGACACATTGCAAATGGCTGACTTACAATCCACGTAAATTACCAAAAAGAGGTCAAAATATACATAAGTACCTCTTACTGGGTTAGTAATGCAGCAGAATCATAGTGATTGATACTGCAAAATCAGTCATTAATTGCACATACCATTGAATATTGAATCTTTTTACTTTTCTTAAGATATTACATGTATTAGTACATTTTTCTAAAGATTGAATTTCTTGAAATATTTTGGCTATCTGGAGATGTGCTAAATTTAAAGGTTTAACAGGACACCAAAAAAAAAGCTTTTTAGAAATAAAATTTAAAGCATTTCTGGGGCATAATGGGCCTTTAATGTTTTAAATTCATTGCACTATAAAGAGGGGTTTTTTTTTTACTCATTGCACTTAAAAAAGAGATGTTTAAACATGTTCTGAGTGAATCACCTGATATGTATCTTTCAGACGTCATAGGCATTCAGACACGAGAGACATACATGTACGCGACGATCAAGACAACAACAACATGACTGTTGACGAGGACGATAGCGATGTTGGAGATGATGGACGAGAATATTGCCGCCATGGTTCTGACGAGTCTAAGCTGTAGCCCGCAATCACCACAATACCAAAACCAGGACTTCAAAGGTATTTATATTTTTTAATTCCCAAGTATAATAAGTCTGATAGTTGAATTCTCCTTAAAGTGGTACTATATTTTTAACAAGCTGGCTTAATCAAAATCAGAGCTATCTGTACTGAAGCAATGAAAATCAATGACAGTGCCGATACATTTAGTTTTTGTGGTTTTGTGTGAAACAATAAATTAAATTGAAAGTAATTAATTGACTATTATTGATCTGCATTACTTTGATGTGATTTTCATCATAATACAAAAAAATACAAATAGAGAAATAAATGAAAGCTGATCTTTATAATTGATCTATTAAAACCAAACAGATTGCATTGTTAATGTTTTAACCTGAAAACAATAGCAAATATTAACTGCAGATTTAAGCATTTTTAATGGGCTCGCTTAAGAACACTGTAGAATGGATTATAAGAACTGAACCCTCGCCTGATTGATTTTCAGGGATTTAACTATATAATTAGATCAATGAATATTTATATATTTGTGCAGATTTTACCAAAAATGGCCTACTATCCTCAAGTGCTTCCAGTAGTGGTTTCTATAGCAACCAATCAGAGAGGAGTGACCCTTCACCTCCATCACATAGCCACCTGAGCGAGAGTGCCCCTGTTGATTCCGGGCTGGTATTCAGCTCATTTCATCATGATGAGGGTATTGAACTTAGAGAGGGGAGATCAGAGGGGGATATTCAAAAGGTATGGTAGTGGTTTTTATTATGACATATATGTAACTATTATGCAATTGATTTAAAACCTTATTGTCACAAATACTAGCAGAAATTGTCCAAGAGTAAAATTATGCCAATAGTTTGTGATTCTGTTCAAGAGGAAATTAATGTTAAAGTTAATACAGATTCTTCACTCAGAATAAAGACCATTTCAATCTCAAGAAAACTTTTCTAAGTTACAAATTTTGTCCAAGATAAAATGTATAAGTATGAAATTTTGCACATAAGAAAAGACAAAAAACATTTTCCTTGTGAGAAGGATGACACATGCAGGATTTGCATTTCCGTCCAAAGTCAACCAAGAAAATGACACAGTATTTGTATTTTCTTCAAAACTCTGCCAAGAAAATGACACGGAATTTGACTTTCTTTCTAAAGTCAGCCCAGAATTTGAATTTCTGTCTAAAGTCTGCCAAGAAAATGACATTGAATTTGAATTTCTGTCTAAAATCTGCCCAGAAAATGACACGGAATTTGAATTTTTGTCTAGAGTCTGCTCAGAATTTGAATTTCCGTCTGATGTATTCTGCTCAGAAAATGACATGGAATTTGAATTTTTGTCTGAAATCCACCCAAAAATTGACATGAAATTTAAATTTCAGTCAAAATTCCACCAAGAAAAATGACATGGAATATGAATGTCCATCAAAAGTCTGCCCAGAAAATAATTCAGAATTTGCAGAAATTTGAATTTCCAATATTTGCCCAGAAACTGACATGAAATTTGAATTTCCCTCCAATATCTGCCCAGAAATCACTTATTCCATGCCAGTTCTGTCCATGTTTCTGCCCAGTTTCTGTCCCAAAATTTTGTACAGGTGTAATTACCTATATATTCTGATATATGATTTAATTTATTATAGACCGTTACAAAGAGGACAATGTACCAATGTACTTGGCCAGGCTGTAATAAAGTAAGCTCAACAACATCAGCCATCGAGAAACACATAAGAGATCTCCATCTTGGGTAAGTGCAAAGAGAGACAACTCTGTCACAAATTTTTGTAGACATATAAAGTTATCTCTTAGTAATTATTATGTTATACTTTAAGACAGCCAGCGTTTATATGGCAAAAACAATGTCTGATGAATTATTTTTCTGTTGTTATACTTAATTAGCTTTTTATACCCAGTATAATTTTGTTAGAATTATTGATACATCCTAATTTTAGGTACAATGCTGTTTGAATGATTGCTAATGAATTTTTCTCCTATGAATAACATAAGAACGATATTTTGTGACAATAGCAAATAGTACTGTATATCATATACTAGTAGATATCAAACATTCCATCATATATAATCTATTAATCTAGTTATGGAACAGTATTGAAACATAAATGAAGCAATTTCTTACTTCTATACCTATAGAACTATAAAGGCAGATAATTAAAAATGTACTTTGAAAATTACTATTGAATGATGCTTTGAAGCCTAAGGTTACTAAGGGTGTGACTGAGAGAAGTGTTTCAACATGAACAGACTGTCTGTAATTTTAACCACTTTACTTTTGTTCTAAGTGCTCTTTAGTAAACTCTAGATACTTTTCCATATTTTTATTGACATGTACATGTGTTTCTTGCTCATGGAATTTTGTTAAAAGCGCACATCAGGAATTTTTTCATAAATCTGTCATATTTTCAGACCTGATGTTGATAGTGACACAGACTCCTGTGGGGAGGAAGAATTTTACTATACAGAGATAGAAGTGAATGTTGAAAATGTCACTCAGGGATTTTCAGACATGTCAAACATCTCTCCGTCAACTGCTAAAGCCGAGCCAACCAATTCTATAATACCAGACCATGACTACCAGAAAAAGGTAATATACCTTTAATATAAAGGTTCAAACCTTCCAGGGGCAAATGGTTGTTTCCTTAGCAAGAAATTTTACATTCATAGCTTAGTACTGGTTGGTTCCAGGAATAGATGTGAGGGTGTTTCAATAAGCTTCTTATAAGCTTCCAACATGTACTTAAATAAATTTTGTGTAAACTTTTAAGGCCAACACGTTTGGTCCCAGCACAATAGCAATACTCACCTGATGCTTGTTGAGTATAATGAAGATAATAGTAGGAATAATAATTATGTTGATTAAGTGTAGTGATCATGTCCTTATGTTCTTTTACAAATATTTCAGGAATTTCGCACAGTGTGCCTTCTGCATGTACATTTCGTGGTGATCATTTATTTAACATTATGTTATCTAACAAATATTTCAGGAATTTCGCCATGGTTTTGCCTCCAGTGTGCCTTCTACAAGTACGTTCCATGGTCAACCAAGGGCAGTGCCAATACCAATCAAAGTCAACGAAATTCAGAGATCTCTTTCTTGGCAAAATACTCATTCATATGCAACAAGCGTAAGTTTATTTGTTTTTGTTTCTGCAGTTAAAGAATTTGAACATTTTCTTTAAAATAATTTTTTTTATAATAATGATTTAATGCGAATTCGAAACAATGCAATAATTACCATATCATTGTTAAATGATTGTATATATTTACATGGGATTACTGTTTTGAATTTATGTAGCCTTCGCCACCAATCAGGATTTCGAACAAGCCGTCACCGCAGGAACGATTGCAACAACATCAGGCACAATCTCCGAAAATCCACATGATCTCCACGTCCAAAACCCTCAGCATTCACAAGAAACCAAGAAGTGAAGTACGCAAGTGCCGAAAAGTTTACGGCATGGAAAATCGCGATATGTGGTGTACACAGTGTAAATGGAAAAAAGCGTGTACACGATTTCTGGAGTAAATTTATGTAAAAACACTATGTAAGAGCCGGTGTATATGGTATCTCAAGTTAATTTTGCGTGAACAATGTAAATGTATGCAAGATTTGAGAGTAAATTTGAGCAAGAATGAAAACATACATAAGCATGCTTTCAGAAGGAAATTATGTAAAATTGTGTACACAGTCGCTTGAGTAAATTTAAAACGGTTAGGTGCTTTGACCTTGATTTTGTAAGGAAATTGTGGGCATTGTAAGTGACTATGTACAAAATTTTTAGCAAAATACAGTTAGACCATTTGCATGATTTTTCAAGTACATTGTTGCCACTTTAATAATAAAGGGGTGACAATTGCACACAATGTCTCAAATACCAGTAAATTTATCAAAACATGAAATTATTTTAAATAATTTTTCATCAAGTATTATTCTCTATTTTTTCCCACTAAATTGTAAATTAATGAATATAAAGCTATTGAAAGATGATGAAGAATTGTAATTGTTAGGAAGATTTGTAACATAACAAGTAAATACAGTCAAACCTGTGTTAAGAAACCATCTCTGAATAAAGTTCACCCTGTAAAAAAAACCAAGGCCAATTTTTCGACAATCATTCATTCATTTATTTATAAGAACATAGCAACCTCTGTATAAAGACCACTTGTTTATAAAGGCCATGTATGGTCTCTCCTTTGGATGGCCTTTATTCACAGCTTTGACTGTAAGAATTTCCTGATCAGGATATGTGTAAAGGACTTTAGTGTGTTTAATAACAGTGTGCTAGAAATTATATAGGGTATTGCATATTAAATTAGACGTTATCCGGGGTTTTCCCAGCTAATCTGTAGGTACAAACTAACTTCCCATCACAATAGATTTGTCAATCTGTTTCGCCTATTTTCGAAGCTGTAACTGTAAAAGTTTGTTTGTACCTACGTTATTAGCTAGGAAAAACCCAAAATATTCTTAATTCCGGAGTTAGTCTATTGTAAAATGAAATCTGAATTGATGTAATAGTGTACATTGATTGATACATGTAGTAATTACTCACCTTTTTTGTTATCACGAATAACCGTTTAATGCTAACATCAACATTGGGTAAAAGGGGTATCAAGTTATTTAATTGGCATGTAAGTATTTCAGTAATTCAGTATAATACATTTGCCATCAAAAACATTTTGAAACACTGCTCAAGGATTATACCATGAAAATCATTATGACATGTAACACAAGTCACTATTGTCACTTATAGGAAGGGGCACATCAATTTTTAGTTTATTCCGTAAGGAAAATATCTTAATTTTTATCATGTTCATTGGCAATGTCTTTATTATTCCCCAGTGTGTTGCCAGATTTGTAATGCTATTGACAATTATTACTTGCGTATGTCATCAGTGTGTGACCAGATATTCTTTCACGTTTGTTAGACTCATTATTGTAAGCTGGGTAATTTTTGCAGTTTGATAGTAATATATCCTATTGAAGTCAATACTGTCTTAATTTGAAGAAATATTTCTATTATAACATGATGAAGAATGGTCCGAATGTGTGAGTTAGAATATTGCCACAATAGAGATGATAAAAACAGATCTGATCCTTGAACCCACAACCTCCCAATTATTTTTAGAACTGTCCTTCAATTCAGGTGATATCTAGATTTAATTTTGAAGTTGGTCAGGCAAAATTTATAACCTGGTCAAAATGCACAAATGGACAGTCTGGCTATCCCGTGGCTCGATACTGGTAGGAAAGGTTTTTTTTTGGTTTCGAGCCTGGTCTGACTATGCAGATGTCTCAGCTGCCTGGTCCGTGACCCTAGATATATACTGGTGGCAAAAGCTGTTTACAGTTTGATTTCAGAAGGGTAATGGTTTAAATTATATACTGTTAAATGCCATCATGGTATTAATTTGTATTGTTTTAAAATTTTAATAGACAAGGGCTAATAATTATATTCTGGTAATTGGAATCATGGTATTGATTTGTGTGCTGCATGTATGTAATAGACAAGGGCAGTAACTCTGCCTGTTAAGGACCATGTATTCATTTTTGACTTATTTTGTACTGTATACACAGTACACAGTTTTTCCAAGGGCATTATGATATTGTTTAATGAATTTTGCTCATTTAAAAAGCGCATTCATTGGGACATAATATAATGAATAAGCGTTCCATAAGAGAAAAATGAAGTATGGAACATATGCAATTGAATTTATGATATAAATGCATTCAACTTTAAAACAGCTTTCATAACAGAAAAACATATAAGCAATTAATTTAAACTTTATTTATTCAATAAATTGTACATAACATGACATTTACAAACATTGCACAACAATGTAATTCAGACTGGATTAGAAAACAAGTAAAGCAATTAATTTATAAGATAAAATAAAAGCATGCAGCTTTAAAACAAATGCATCACAATATTTCACATAATGTATAAATCAGAGAGAAACTAAACCTATTATTTTAGTGATGAAACCAAAAAAGTTGGTGTTTTTTTTGTTGTTGTTGGGGTGGGTGGGGCGGTGTAAATTTGTTTTCTTTTTAACTGTTGCCATAGAAATGTTTCATGCAATATAATCCAAAATCAAGTCACCGGTGTTGTATGTAAATAGCCATGTAAATATGAGAGAGACAAATATTTTATCATAAATCATATTTTTATCAATGTTGTCATATATATTACAATAGATGATTAGTCATTTGTGCATTTTTTATTATTGTTTGTTTTCTCTTGTTTTTTTTTGTTTTATTTCTTTTTAAATCCATAGCCTAAAATTGTATTAAAATATTCTGCGAGTGTTTTATTATATACTATAATAATTGTTGCAAAATTTGTATTTCATGATTGAAGAATTTTTTTTCTCACAGAATGTGTTGTTAATTTATATGCGTCAAAATGCTATCTTGTTTTTGACTATAATGTGCTCTTTTGATGACAAATTGTCTATTAAATTTAATAGGACTTAATTTGTTACTGCACTAATGTGACGAAATATCCTGTATTTATTTCAAACTTTTCTTCCCTGCTAATATTTTAATATTGGAACGCTCCGAAATTACATTCTAAAAATTCACTTCTTGATTATAAGATATTATTATTATCATTATTAGATATTATTTTTATTATTATCATCAGTATAATAGAGTGAAACATATCTTTTACAAAGATCATGTTAAATTGGATTATTTTGACAGATTAACTTGCAAAAAAATTTTTTTTTCACCAAAATTGTTTTTGGACTGTGATTATAAACCATATTGGTTTCATTTTGGATTATGTGTTAACTCAATTATAATCAGAAATGATTGCTGCTGAATTTTGAAATGAAACAATATCTTAAAGCAGCATGCTTCCAGATTGCTGTTAATTTTCATGAAAATTTTTAACATGTATTAAAAAGTAAAATATTGTGAAATACTGCAAAATCAGTTATCAATCGCAGATAAATTGTAAATCATAACTTGAATGTGTTTAATTTTCTTAAAATCTCAGTACATTTTTCTCAAGTTTGGTTTTCATGAAATATTTTGTCTCATCTGGAGGCATGCAGCTTTAAAATGTTACATTACATTGATACAATACTAGAACAGTATTGGACCACTACTTTGTTGGTTTTTATAAATCATATTATGATTCATATTAAATTTTACAACTTAACTTAGAAAAATTGAGATTGTATTCAGTGGTTCAATTTTAAGACTTTCTAAGATTTGGTCCTTAGTACACAATCATGAACATGGCAAGCTGAGTTGGTTACAGAATCTACATACCTTAATAATTAATGTATGGAAATTTAAGAATCACTCAGATTCCAGGTTAGAAATAATCAACTTCAAATCTAGTGCTTCCATTTTAAGATAATATTAGATAATTATTCTTTTTATAATCACTTCAAGAATTGTTTATGGTGAAGTTTGAAGTAACTAGTTAATGGAAGTTTGTAAATGCTATTTAAAGACTCATTTTGCCTCAGAGACGAATTAATATTCATTCATGGAAGCAGACAAAAATGAAGTTAATAACATTTACATAATAGTTTAAGAGCATATTAGATGCTTATCACCTGCAGAAAGATCAGTGCTGAAAGTGAAATTATTGGCTATAAAAGAAGAAAATGTAAACAAAATAGAATTTTGACTTCTATGCAAAATACTTATTCACTATAATTATTGCCAAAAAGCAACATTTTTTGCATAAAAAAAAAAAGAAAAAAAATAGTGTACGCATTTCTGGGGCATATTAATGGGACTTTTAAAGCAGCATTGGTGAAAATAAAACACCTATAAGAAAACTGTCAAATGTTGAATGACTGTAAAACTGCAAATTCCAAAAAGAATCAAATGCACAGATTTACTTGTTGTATAAATTGAACATAATTATGTCATATGAAAATAGATGGATTTTGTTTTTATAAAAGAAATTCTTTAAAAAAAAGATAATCTCAGGGGTATTTTTTGTGATTATGTCTTTCTGTTAGGTTAGGTTGAAACATGAAAATGATATTTGAAACTTAGAAATAATGGTCTTTTTGAAATGTTGTAAATATGTATAGGCTTAAAGATTGAAGTAATGTAGATACAATAATTTAGCATGAATGATTATTTTACTTTATACCATGTGCTGATTGCATGTATATGTATTGTTTTTGTTTTTAATATTATTGTTACTTTAATTACGCATTATATTGTTATTATTTTAATAAAGAAACTGCAAAAGTAATATTCACTTTAAACCTGCGGAAAAGAATTGTTAGTATTTGTATAGAAAAAGGGAAAATAACTGCTGACAATACGGGGTATAGTTTCGCGAAAATGTAATTGGTTCGAAGCGTTACAGATCACTTATAAATGTGACACATTTTCCTAAGCTAAGACAGTTACACATCACCTTAGTGCAATAAATGGTTAACTCCTTTCAAATATAGAAGGACTTGGCTTGTACTGCACAGAGGTGACACACATTAGTAATAAAACAGATTGTTTCAACATTTTGTGACATGAACTTCTATGTCTTATTCAGATGAAATACCAGAATTACTTAAGTGTTTTGAATGTATTTTAATACCTGCTGAAATATTTATTACTTTGAAACATTTATTAAAATGATAGTGTCTAACTTTACAATGAGTGCTAAAAATGGACTTGAACATGTATCATAATTTAGGGACCTTAATCTGTTGAAGATTCGTCAGAATTAAATCGTATACACATAGATTACATGCACAGTGCGTTAACTGTAGTGCATTTACTAGTTACCCCCACTCCAGAGCTTGCTTATCGACTGGCTCATTTTGTCTGGGTTTTACTTAATGTGACAATAGAGAAAGGGATTCCAATAGAAATATCATATTCAGATGTTCGTTTATTAGATACTTTTTTTTCTGACGTTTCATTTTGTGATAACAGGGAACATGTTTTTATTTTTGCCTATGATACAAAAAAGAAAGAACGCCAACACCCTCTTGTACAATTCAGATAGACTGGTGTTTCGATGCTCTTTCTATTAATTGTTTCGATATTTTTATGGTACGCAATTATTACTAAAGTGATAATTCTTTCGGAAACTACCGGATGTATGTCCATGAATTTTTTGAATTAATGATTGACCAACTTTTCGTTCTTGCCTATGCATCTGAAAGTGAAAAAATAGGAAATTACAGTCTAACCTGTGTTAAAGACCACCTCTAAATAAAGAACATCATGTGTATAAAGACCGCTTTTCGACAAACTTTCATTTAATAAAAAAGAAAAAATACCTCCAAATAAAGACCACTTGTAAATAAAGGCCAAGTTCTAGGATGGCCTTTGTTAACAGGTTTGGCTGTACTACAGGTATCCTCTTGAAATTTAGTACATGTCTTCAGGATAGTAATTGTTACTTTAGAGAGTTTTTTAAACATTGTATAAATAACAAATAATAACTTCAAGTGAGGCTAAAAAGAGGTGTTGGAGCACCACACTTAAAGTACCGTATTCTGATATATACCAGACAAGGCGCTTGAATGATTCTGCTTAAATCCCTTTTTCACCCACCAAAATGCACTTGAAGACGTCTAATTCATCTCTTCACACTGATTTATATATGATCATGAATGAAAAATTGTAAGAATTAATCGGGGAAAAAAGTGATATTTGTCTACTTTGTGATCATGATTTCATGCAAGCATCTAGAAGCACTGCAGAGGTTTAAATCCTTCTATTTTTATGTTAAAGTCATGTGACTAGATCAGAATATTTAAATTTCCAAAAATATTTTGAGGGAACGTTTGCAAAAAAATGTATAGCCATGATGTATACATGTGCAGCATATTAAGAATGGGAAACTCATAATTTTATAAGTGTCTTAGTTCATTTTCTAGGTCCAGTAATTTGCACAGATGAACAATATAATTTAAGCATTACATAAAAATGATCTCAAACGTTTCATAACCTGCCACTCACTGAATAAATGTTATTCAATTTTGAACAATTTCTTGCAGACGCATTTCTATTTCATTTACAAAATGTAGGTGACTGTTTTTTTTTGTTTTTGTTTTTTTGGGGGGGGGGGGGTCTTTTCTAAAAATCAGAAAAAAATAAAACAATATATGATACTTGTGCTAATTAAATTAAAGTCAAAACCACTACTTACTTAAAACATGTGTACCTATATAGATAATTTCTATATATTTTCATCTTGTTTAAACTTTGAATGCCAGTAAAAGTTAAGCTGTAAAGTCAAAGGGAGGTAATTTAATTTTTTTTCTAGATATACAGTATTCTTAAGAATATTTGATAAGTCAAAGTTGATGTTTAGAAATTCCGTTGCCCAGGTGGCAAAATGTATATTTCTTTTTTTTAACTATGGTTTGCTTTTTTAGCTCACCTGTCACAAAGTGACAGGGTGAGCTTTTGTGATCGCTTTTCGTCC